GATTGAAAAAAATGCAAAATATTATAAAATAATTTTAGACTAAGATCGTATGGCTTGCTGATTCAAGTCCTTTTCATAATTTTTTTCATCTTTCTTTCATTCATTGTATATAAAGTTCGTAATAACACGTCTTCATGATTAATGAGTAATGTTCTGAAAATGATTACAAACTGTGGAACTAAAATTATACTATATAAATGGTATTGCACAACTTAATTCTGCAATGGTAGTTCTTGTCTATATACAGGTCGCTGCGTAGATTGGATAGAAATGTAGTCATCAGGGCGGGTAGCTGATTGGCCCGCGGTTCAGATTGGCAATGCAGTGTAGATCTTTTATGTGCATTCACGAAGATGACGATGACTGTGAACATGGAAGTGCAAAACAGGATGTCACATTACTTTCGCCTTTATTTGGCGGATAACTCTCATTGATATTGAGAGTCTATAATTGCATAATACATCTGTACATGCAATAAATTTGTTCAGCATAAATTGCCGACTCTAGTCTCATGCAATAAATGATTTTTTTTCTATTTGTGTGTATACTTTGCACATTAATCACCATAGATCCAAGCGAATGTAAAAATTAAGATATTGTATATATATACATATACATACACACATATATATATATGTATATGTTAAATTACTTCTTAAGGAAATCCCTTAATCTGATTTTTTATTTTTGTGTCAGCTCACAATATTTATCTGCCAAACAATGTCAAAGGAAAGGATTACTTATTCCGGGCTAAAAACCATTGTGTTTTTGAAAAACATATTTAGGTGATTTTTGAAGATATTTCTGTCTTGTTTAATATTATAATGAAATAAATATTCAATGCCTGTTACCAATAATAGAAGCAAACAAATATGATTGCTTTTGTATATTTTTGGTCTTTGTTTGCCGAGTAGAACAGTTTCAGTAAACTCGTGTAAGTATAGCATAATGTAAAATCATTTTACAAGGACTGGTATCATTAGTACCTGCCACGACCGGCTGGAGAACGACTTCGATACCTCGATGTGCTAGTGCCTTTGTTGGTATAATAATCAGCATTGGTTTCTCCACTATTATAGACATCTTGTGCATATCCTTCTCGAGTAACATACCCACTGGCACGATTGGTCATATAATCTTCGCCGTAGTAGTCTCTACCTCTACTTCCACCACCCTTGCCTGCATAGTAATTTCCGTAATCTGTATACGCATTATTGCCTCTGTAACTGAGCGCAGTGGAGACTGCAGACCCATAGCCCCTATTAGCTGCTCCTCGATTTCCTCTGAATCCTCCCATACCACCCCTGCCTCCACCGCGACCTCTACCTCGTGAAATTTCAACTCTCAACTTGGCACCCATTATTTCTGTGCCGTTCATACTGCTACACGCAAGTTCTGCTTCGTTCATATTTAAAAATTCGATGAAGGCAAACCCTGGAGGGTTGAACGCAACCCAAACTTTGTTTAGTTTGCCATATTTTTCAAACTCTGTTTGAAGGTCTTCTTTTTTAATGCTCTCATTCAGACCACCGACATACACACGCGTGTATCCTTCTGGTGTCATTTTTATGCCTAAAAATTACAGTTGCACATTACATAAATAATATTGCATATTGATAAAAATCGGAGATGCAAATAAAGCGAGGACGTTACAAAAATTATACGCATTAATCTCACAGATTTTATCACGTAACTATAATTAAACACAATAGAAGCACGACGGAATAATAAGAATTTTTTTGATTATGTTCCACAAATTAAGCAATAGACCTCGAAATGTAGGAAAGTCGAGCACTTGCGCGCCAATGATTTCGAAAACGGTAATTCTTCATAGAACAGTATACTTACTTGTAATTTACTTCCCGTTGAAATATTCCGTTTCTAAGTAAAATATTTGACAAATTTTTAAGGAAAAAGGATATCCAGTACACCGTTACTACGACAGAATCAATAGGTGAGGATCAACCGGGGTTCACACTGCACAGAACTACATCCGACGTCTTGGCGTCTCCAACCCAGACGCCAAAGCTCGTACGGTCTGCTCAAATAGATTATTTCGTTCCGATGAATATCACAACCAAAAATCGTTTCGTATTTGAAACATCGTTTAATTAATTATTCGATAATCACTAACAGGCTAGAATAATCAGAGTACTTAAAACGAAAGCCGAACAGAAAATATTTCAATCCCTTCTAATATTACACTTCAACGGACTGATTTTACTCGAGCAGACTGTATTCGTGCTCTTGTTTATCTTCGGAAGTCAAATTTATCAAAAACAACATAGTGATAAATTGACTAACGGACCATTTAAATTCCTAATAAATACCACGTTATTTCAAATGATTTTTTTTTCAAATAGACATTATTACGATTTGAAACGATAATAGCTTGTCTATTGTATCAATTTGATCGGCGATTCTAATCGATAATGTTGCTTATAAACAGGTTCTAAATATTATGTGCAGAATATACATTGCGTAGTGAGAAATAAAGAACGATTTCCTTTCCCGTATCAGTTAATTTATTAAATGAAAAATAATCGAAAACTTTCGACGTGATTTATTATATATTTTTCTGTTATACTACTGTTTCTGCGAGAATGCCTTTAGCCCATGATAAGTGAACAGAACGATAGCGAATTATCTTAAAGCAATGCACATGCTCGATTGCCGATTTCAATTTATATAAATATATGTAAATCGCATAAAATATATTCCATTCTATTAACTTTAATGACGTTTAATTTCGCTGCAGTTCACGATACAATAAACCACTTTGTACCGTTAATTTGGGTAGTTCACTGACCGCCGGAAAGTGACACATAAGTGATACTTCAACGTGGTAGGCAATGCAGTTTCGCGGAAGATGGCAGTTCAAACGAATGATATTGACACTGTCATTCGGATGATTGTTCTAATGACAGAAACGTTCTAGTTAAATCGGTAGATTTAGTTTATTTTGTTGACATGACATGTAGTTGCACAACAAATGGAAATTACCTGACCTTGGTAAATTCGAGGTTGTTCAAATAGCTTCATCAAACATTTTGACGCCTCTTTTTATCATATTCGAGTTTTGATCAGATTCAATCGAAATGCAACGATACGATATTCTTATTCAAGAAATCGAGGGCATAGACGATTATTTGGGTCCAACATTTCGGTACGTAAATTCAAAGGGGATTCATCCCTCTATGTTTTGGTCAAAAGACGCGCCCCCGAAGCCACCCCTTCACGCAGATGCGACTGTATTGTGCATATGCGCACAAGGAGGGTGGAAAATGGGGGTGGTTATCCCTGTTGTAAAATAAAGATAAATTGAATTAGGGTTGTATCATGTCAAGGTTGTCAACTAACCAAGTTGATAATCTGTTGTCAAGTATGGTACCGAAACATGAGTATCTTTTATATGAAATAGAATCTACAGATACTAATAGCATAGGGCTTGTTTTCAGGTACTATTGCTCTTAATAGTTGCTTTGAAGACAGAAGAATTGCAAATGTAAAGAAGTAGAAACAGTATATTGGTATTATAATTTCTTCTTTTTTTTTAGAGCTATATACGATGGCCACGAACATCAAAAATTTATGGAAAAGCTTGACGAACGTATCAAGGCTCATGACAAAGACATTGAAAGAATGTGTAACCATCATTATCAAGGTTTCATTGATTCGATAAGGGAACTTCTTCAAGTTCGTTCGCAAGCACAACAACTTAATGTTAGTTTTTACCTTGAGGTCCATGTATTGCGTAGATTATACAAGTTACCATGAAAATCTTTAATTTTACATATTTCAATGAATATAAAATGCTTTGTAGGCTGAAATATTGGAACTTGATAAGCGTATTACGGCTACCTCTACCAAAGTGATAGAAAAAGGAGAAGAGCTTGTTAGAGCCCGAAAAGTAGAAAGTAATATGGCTGCAGCAGTAGACAGTCTTACCATGTGTCTTCCTGTTTTAGCTGCATACGCAAAGTTACAGAAACAATTGAAAGATAAACGTTATTACCCAGCATTAAAGACATTGGAACAATTAGAACATCATGATTTACCAAAAGTAACAAATTATAGATTTTCTTCACAAATTACTCAACAGATACCACAGTGAGTAATGTCACAACATAAAGCAACATTTGTTTTTACAGCAGAATGTAACTAACGAGTAATTTACACAGAAATGTTAAGTGACATTAAGTGACTGATAGATTGCAATGATTTTAGACTACGTGAAAATATAAAGGATGCTTCCATGTCTGATTTAAGAGACTTTTTAGAAAATATTAGGAAATATTCACCAAAAATTGGTGATGTTGCTATGAGACATGTAAGTGTTACTGTATAGTTCATACATTTACATACATACTAATTGTTATATATTTGATGCATTATATTCATTTTTGAAATAGACTCAAGAACAGTTAACTATTGAAGCTGAAATCATTGGCCGTAAAAAGAAGAGATCACAGACTAGAACTTCTTCGCCAAATGATGGTGAAGAGGAGTTGAGTGCTCAAGATTTAATGGATTTTAGTCCAGTATATCGTTGTATGCATATTTATACAGTACTTCGCGAGGGGGAAACGTTTAAAGCATACTACAGACAACAAAGAAAACAGCAGGCTAGATTAGTTCTGCAATCTCCCATTAATATGGTACATATTATTATTATTCGTAGGAGTAGGTTTCCTATGTATAACTCAATTTTTATTTCATATTTTTAGCATGAGAGTATAGCTAGTTATCAGACTTACCTACAAGGGATTGTGGGGTTCTTTGTGGTGGAAGACCATATTTTGAATACAGGTAATGGTTTAGCAACAAGAGCTTACATAGACGAACTATGGTCCATGGCATTATCACAGATAGTAAATGCACTGCGTACTCATTCTGTAAGTAATAAATTATTAAGATAAATAATAAAGTTATTTTCTAAAAAATTAATCTGATGATGATCTTTCTAGGCATATTGTACAGATGCAAGACTTATTTTAAGAATAAAAAATCTAATAATGTTATTTAATACAACTTTAAGAGTAAGTAAGATGCACTGTTATAAGTTCCTTACATTTGATATATAATCTTCACTATCTTCTTTTTCTTATACAGAATTATGGGTATTCTGTAGGACAGCTTTGGGATTTATTACAAGAAATTCGAGTCCATTATAATGAAGTTCTAATGCAACATTGGGTTCAAGTATTTAGAGACATTCTGGATGAAGATAGTTTTCTGCCAATTCAGGTATACATTTATAGTTTATAACTCATATACTTTTAATACTTTATGCGTATTACGATTTATTAGGTCACAACACAAGATGAATATGATAATATTTTGGATTTATTTCCCTATCACGACGAAGAGTTAGAGAAAACAGAATTTCCGAAGAAATTTCCATTCTCTGATATGGTACCAAAAGTATATCAGCAAGTTAAGGAGTTCATATACGCTTGCTTAAAATTTTCAGAGGATTTGAATTTCACACAAACCGAAATAGATGAAATGATCTGCAAATCAACGAACTTGCTGTTGACAAGAACATTTAGTGGTTGTCTGTCCTCCTTATTTCGAAAGCCGTCGCTTGCTCTTTTACAAGTAGTTCAGATTATTATAAACACAGGGTACCTTGAGAAGTCTACAAAGTATTTGGAAGAATTCGTGACCAATATCACCGGGTAAATATTACACAAATCGTTAGTAGACTCTGTACAAGTATGTATTTATAGCCTGCATATTATTATACAACAATTCTTATATCCACAATAAAATTATTAACAAAAAAAATAATTATATAACCACTATAGCATTAGTATTTATTTTACAGTACACCACATGAGGGTCAGTTAAGTTGTATGGGCGTCGAATCAGCTATGTTTAGAGTAGCAAGAGACGATGCTGAGAAACAAATTTGCGATAAATTAACAAACAAATTAGACGAGTTCTTGGAATTAGAAAATTACGATTGGAATTTGGCAGAACCTCAAGGACACGCATCCGGTTTTATTACTGATCTCATAGCATTCTTGCAAAGTACTTTTACCTGTTTCACTAATTTACCTGTACGTATTTTTTACTAGGTTAATACTAAATCAATAAACTTTCGTTACAGTGAAAATTATTTATGACTAAACATTGCCAAGGTTTTAAAAAGAGAACCGTAAAATTAAATGTTTATCTTTTAGGAAGAAGTTGCTCAAGTTGCTTGCAAAGCTGCTTGTTCCCATATAGCAAAAGCTGTACTAGGTATACTAATTAGTGAAGACGTGAAACAAATATCAATGGGTGCTCTTCAACAAGTCAATTTAGATACAATACAGTGTGAACGTACGTGTTCGTTTTATTTGTTGAATAAGACGTACAACATATGGTTACAGAATATTCTTAGCTGTACTGAACCACCTTGCACATAATTTAAAAAGATACGCAAACTTTTAGAATTTGCCGCCTCAGAACCTGTAGTCGGTTTACCTGAAGGAACTTTGCTTCAAAATTTCGCACAACTAAGACAACTGCTAGATTTATTTATGAGTTGGGACTGGCCTACATATTTTCACGACTACGGCCACGAATCAAGCAAATATAATTTAGTAACTCCAAATATGGCTGTATTGTTGTTAGAGAAGTATGTGGCATGCCGTTTCATTTAATGTAATTTTCCACTGTACACACTGATTTCTACATTTTCAAAATGTGTGTGTGTATTTGCAGATTAAAAGAGTCTGATAAAAAAACAGTATTTGCCGTACTGAAAAAGAGCGAGAGGGATAAGAAGAAACTTCTGGAAACCGTATTAAAACAGCTACGCCAATTGGCGCAAACTACTCAACAGTAAACTAAACTGAAGTTAATATATATGTATATATATTAACATATATATATATATACCTCAAAAGAGATTGTAAATATATAATTTTTAATATATACGCCTCCAAACATAATTCTTAGAAACTTATTGTTATTACAATAAAATGGCTATAAAAAATGTTCATTGATCAGTCCATGTTTTCAGTTTCATGATATTGTCACGGTTGTTAAAATAGCAATTCCATGTGACGTCATGACACAGAGATTCATACTTCATTGTGTTCGTGTTCATTTAGCATTTAGTTTTCGATGTTCAATTGCAATTATCTATACATTTCTATTTAAGAGTCGTACGTGATCGAATTCTAGGCAATTGAATATAATACATTGCTCAAGTTCCCATACACTTATTATTTTAATCGTTTCCTTCTAAATTGGCATTGTTATATTACATGTAAATGAGTTACATATTGTAAAATAACTGTACAGTGGGTAAAGTATGACGTATAAAGTCCCAATTCCTAAGTCTTACAGATGCAATTACCGTTAGAATTAAATATTTAGAAGAAAAAAAAAAGAG